AATGGGCGAGTGGACTGATAATGATAATTTATATTAGAGTCTTTGATGAGATGGTTTTCGTCGAATAAATTATCATTCAATCCAGATAAAACATCTATCGTCAGATTTCAGACAGCTCAACGTCACAGCAGTGAGGATTTCATTATCGAACTATCTAGTCAACAACTTGTAACCAGCGATACTGTGAAATTTCTGGGTATTGAACTAGACAAGAATTTAAATTTCAAAACACATTGTGAATCATTAACATCTAAACTGAACTCATTCTATTACTTGATATACAATTTGAAGACTATTTTGACTCATGAACAATTGATGAACTTTTACTATGCACAGGTGGAATCTCGTTTGAGATATGGAATTAACTTCTGGGGCAATTCCATACATTCTAAGAACATATTCATTGCACAAAAACGAATTGTAAGGTGCTTAACAGGAAAACCAAGACAACACTCTTGCAGAGATCTTCTCAAAAAACTGAACATATTAACTCTGACTGGATTATTCATTTTTGAGATATGTTTATTTGTCCATAGAAATAGAGAAGTTACACCGAAAAATTATGATACGCACAATTTCAATACGAGACAAAAAAATAACTTGCGGATACCCTTTGCCAGATTGAATATTACCAGTTCATCCCCAAACTTTATTGGGCCAAGATTATTCAACAAATTACCTGAATCAATAAAAAACTGTAAAAAGGAAACAGAATTCAAAAAACAAATCAAAATATTTTTAGTTGGCAAAGTTTTTTGTACTGTGAACGAGTTTTTGTGTACGTAATATTCCTATTTGTCATATACACTCATTAGTATGTAAGTTTTCTAGTTTTTTTCTTTTTTTAGTTCGTAAGTTTCATAGTTTCTTAGTATCTTTGACTATTCCTATACAATGTATGTTGTCAGTTATGGAAAATAAATGATTTGATTGATTGATTGATTGATGAATTATTGGCATTCAATGGGCTCATTTCACAAAAAAAAATTATTTCATAATTCGATAGAACTCACCCAAACTAGCTCACCACCGCAAACCGTTTTTTGCTGTGAGCTCCCTACGTTTCATGAAAAATTATTGAAATCCCCGATTTTTCGGACCTCTGAAAACGAGGCGATGATGTGACGTCAAAACCCTAATACTGCAAAAAGACTATTCCAGACAGAGATGGATGATACATGATTTCTGGCAGAGTGAATAAGCGCGAGATCACAGTTGAAAGAATTAATATATCAGTTGCCTCAGTCTCCGTCGGGCGTTTGGTATTTTCTTTTAACTATGGCGAGATGAGGTTTCTACGTCATAAGAGGGTCCGTTTTCAGAAGGTAATAATTATTCGTAAATAGCTTTACAGGTTGTGCTTGTGACTAAGAATATGCCGTGGAAAAATTTTTGAATTCCAAGTATTTCCGGAGATATACGGAATAACAGAAATTTTAGTAAATCATTTTATTTTTTTTCTGGCGTTATTTGTTGGAGAATATCAAAATTGAGAGCACATTCATATTGCCTCCTTTTTCCTGCTATACGATGACGATTCCAGATTCACCATGCACTATTATTATTATTGAAAATCCCTCCGAACAACGAACCTTTGTGCTCATGAAAAATAGTGATGTTGATGAGAGGGGCGAAAATACCAAACGCCGGATAGTGGATCTGAAAATCTCATCGTATAGCAGGGAATAAGTGGCAATTTAAATACGCTATCAATTTTGATACTCCTCAACAAACGTTTGACGCAAGAAAAAAATTGAAATTCGTTCTTTTCCTGTAACTCCGAAAATACTCGGAACTGACGACATATATTTAGTTACGCTCAACTTTGCTCTAATTTAACCAAGAACCCATTGGTGGCACTAAAATTTGAATTACTCAGTATAGGGGTTTGTTGTAGTATGTCCCAGACCGCACAATACTGCCTCTTTTACTAAAAAAAAAATTTTACTGATGGAATATTTCCGGACTTCAATAAGACATCTTCAGGACATACATTTCTGGACGTCTCTGAGACGTCTTACGATAGACATCTTCAGGACGTCCATTTTATGCCTGCAATATAAGGACATAAAATGGAAATCTACAAGACGTCCGGTGCTGTGTGGGGTAGAATAGTTGTTATTGAAACACAAAAAGTACTCTGTCCTTGTGCTGTTCAATAATTGAAGTACCTACTTCACTTGAGTTGTTTACCAAGCTCTGATAACAAGAATTCGTGAGATGAATAATAATTCAATTCAAGACGAAACGTTTCAATCTTCATAGAACTGTAGTGATTCATTTATAGAAAAATAAATTAGTGATATAATATATGAGTCAAAACAATGAACAGTGGAGTGTGGAATTAGGGACAAGACCTACACAGGGAATCATTTTAGAATACTTTGTACTGATAAACCTCGGTTGAGGTACATACCTATATTGCGAGTTCTACTAATGTTTAATATCAGAAATGACAGATTGAAAAGTCGTTCATAAAGATTATAAATAAGCTACATTTTATATATTCAACAAACATCGTGAGTATTAATCCCGACATTTTCAGCTTATCCAGGCTATTACTGCTGAATTTATAGCTTGCATATAACCTGATGCTTGTTCGGAATATCGGGGATTAGCATTTTCACGCTATTCTACTCTCACATAAACCATATTTATCCATTAAGGATACACGTATATGGGACGAAAAATAATAATTGATAGTAATATAGATTTGTGTTTCGATGTAAGTATTGGTATTGTTATATACTTCTTAGTAATTGGATGTCAGTGTAGAAATTACAACAATGAGACCTGTTCAACCATATTTACAGGGTCTGTCATGAATTCGTGGCATTATATAATATCAATATATGTGAATGATTGTTCAGTTTTTCATCAGAATGATCCACTTTATTTCATTCCATTTATAATAATGATGAGCATAATCTCTGCCACTGAAATTAATTTTCTTGATTTCATATGAAAACAGGAATATTCATGATTACCTACTTATCTATCGAAGTTTGCTGGATTTAATTCAGATGATTGAGGTGATCCCAATGTCAATTGAAAATACATTAGTTTCTCCGATTAAATTCTAGTACAAAATCGATCAATTATTCAATTTATTGTTGATGCTTGATGCTGGTTTGATCGTTTCCTTCGTAAATTTAATTTCTTCATATCATATATGATTCAACAGAGAGGGAACTAGGAACATTAAAAAACATTCATAACAATAGTCGATGTATTATCAAATTATAATAATTATAATCATAAAGCAGAGAATGAATATCATTGAACAGTTGGTTCACCTAATATAGGTGATATAGCAAATCAAATTCTATCATATATCTACTAATTAGGTATAACAATAACTGAGGGAAATTGAATTCAATTAATCAATATTGATTTACATTCAAATTATAAATATTTCGTATGTAAATCACCATACTAATTGATAAATATCTAATTTATTCTATATTATAACATCATCTGGATGTATGAGCATCGGTATATAACAAAAATTATTCTGACAAAAGTTATAAATATGTTATAAGTTCTGAAACTGTGAATTGTGCCCTGTTTTCTTCGAAGTGGGTCAGTTTTGATTTTGATAATACTGGTTATTTTCTAATGGAAAAGTTTGAATGAAAATTTATATATTATGCATCCAGGTACTCATATACAAATTTCTGATTTTTGAGGGTAATCAGGGAAATAGAGAGAGAAAATTCTCCGAATCACGTGAAATCTTCAAAATTCATTGTAATTCTTGAATATTTTGAAAACTCGAATTTCTGAAAAAATCAACCAAATATAGTTGAACGATGTTTGTCAGAATCGGTTTAGTCTATAAGTATATATACTGGTATTATGGTGAACTGATCAAGAGAAATATACTTTACCAAACTATATTTTCCATAGTTTCGAGGTTTAGACATTTGATTTTGAGTTGGCTGCACAGAGGTGTCGAATGACAATTTCAAATAAACTGCTCACCCCTTTATTAACTTAATTTCCTCATCAGGATAAAACAATATGTGGAAGTTGCATGCCGCAATGAGATCTCACCGCAGGCATTATCAGAAGTTTCACAGGGTGATCCCTAAAAACGTGACAAACCACAAATTATTTTTTTTAATGGAACACCCTGTTCTTTATATTTTTTCGGAGTCTGTGAATTTCTGTGATAACAAAAAAATATATATTCAGGGTGATATCTTTTATTTCTACTTCCCTATCGTCACTCTTTTGAGTCTAGAAAAACAAATGTCTGATTAATTGGTGATCATTCAATCAGTTTGGGAATGTTTCCGATAATAATGCAATCAATATACAACAGTCAAATATATCCTCTTTCATGACTAACATGATATCTGTTGAAGCCAACACAAAAATTGTTTTTCTTGGGTCAAACAAGTGGTGACAATGAAGTAATAATAACAGATATTTTATTGAATAAATATAAAGTGTGACCCATTTTTAATGGAAACACCCCCCTAAAATTTGAAGTTGTGAACCGATTTTGACATTTATTTTGGAAATTTCAAGTACTTGATGATCTACCTTGGGACAAAATTTGAGATGTTTATTCCAATTTTCAGGGCATACTACGATATTTTTTCATAGTCGAAAATCGGGAATTTTTATTAGCGATTTTTTTAATGAAAAAATCACTACAAAATTTCATGGAAAAATATTCATTAATAACAAAGTTATGACAAATAAAAAATTGGAAAACTCACACAACTAACAGTCACAAAAAACACCCGATATATCTACAGATATAGCCATGAGAATGTTTTCTTTATGAGTAGAACAATCACGTGCCATCCGATGAAAAAAAATTGAAAGCATGTTTTCAATTCTTTGCGTCATTATTAGTTGAATTGTGTGAATGTAATTCCGTTATTTTCATTAAAATAATTTACGCTAGCATTTTTTTCTCATCTGGTGGCACTATTGTTGAAACATAAAAAAAAATATTCTCATGGCTATATCTGTTAGCTGTGTGAGTTTTCGAATTTTTGAGTTGTCATAACTTTGTTATTAATGCATATTTTTACATGAAATTCTGGTCACACCCATTTAGAGGCACTCTGAATTCAGTGCCGTAGTTATTTTCGATATATATAATATAAAAAAATCGCTAATGAAGAATCCCTATTTTCGACTAAAAAAATTGGAATAAACATTTCAAAATTCGTCCTTAGATAGACCTTTTAGTACTTGATGTAACATATTATATTGTAATCGTTCATAACAAGTATGTAAAAGTTTTGGAATATCATATGAAATCGTCGTGTGGAATCACAGATTCCGAAAAAAAAATCAGATAAAGGGTGTTTCATGTAAAGAAATAATTTGTGGTTTGTCACGCTTCTGTAAAACTTCTGATATGGGCTTTAAAAAATGGTAATTATAGGGGTTGGCCTTATTTTCTGACAATATCAAATTAGGTACAATAATACTTGTTCTGTGGTATTTCTGACTAGATAATTTTGTCAATTGACAAAATATTTCAAAATTCTCTTCATTTTCCTATCACATGTCGAATCCAAGGTATATAATCGGATACCCTGGTGTAGATGCCAGGTAGGTAGGGCCTGGCACATCCGATACCTGTCGAAACAACACCAACCACGATCATTTGGTCGTTTTGTCCATTGGAGTTTACCATGAGAGGACCACCACTATCAGCCTAGGAAATCGAAGAGAAATTAGCTATTTGCATACTATTTATTGTTGATCTCTGGTATATAGGGTTCCTAGATGTACTTGACACTGCTGTTTTGACGTTTTTTGTATACGGACACTAGACAAGCAGTGACAATCAAACATAACCACAAACGATTTTGAAGCAATTCATATAGGTCGCGTGCAAGAACTGTCAGATGACCGACACTGGAGGCCAAAATATTGTGAGAAACTATTTCAACCTCTTGATTCCTCTGTAACCAAATAAAAAAGTGAGGTTGTGTTTCAATAATTCACAGAAGAATGAGGTTGTGTTTCAATATTTTGCCTCCAGGGTCGGTCTTCGTGCACGCGACCTATATGTTTTGCCAGACAAGGATAAGAATATGTTTTTCGGTTGGATGAAGGATTCTCGCATCTTCCTTCCTCCACAAGTCCTGGGAAGAGTACTTCCATATATCTTTCTCTGTCTTCGATTTTTGTATGAGAGTGCATAGCGTCTCCTCGAGTGGGTAAAAGGGTACGATAACTTGATTAGAAGATTATTTCTTCCCGAAATATTGAATGATAAGGATGAAAGACCTCAATGGGGGTCGATATCAAGTTAGTATGTACATATATTCCAACGAAATACATATACTATTCCTATGAACTACACGTGAATTTGATCACCAACGGTTTTTCCAAACTTCTTGCATCCCATCTGTTACCATTAAATTTTGAATTTTGAGATGAATCATGCTCATATGAAGCAACATTTTTACTAATATTTAATTTGGTATTCAAATCTTTCATTCGTTTCAAAGGCAAAAGTTTTTCATAGTATTGTTTATCGAAACTATGGATTTTGCTCAAAATTGCCTGGATATTTGCTTGTTCAATTTTCTTGTATTTTTGATGATTTTTTCAAATCTGAAATAATTTTAAGGTGATAGTTCTGAATTTTGCTAACTCTGACTTTTGCATCTTAATCTTTTTGTTTCACTTTATTTTCCAACTCTCTATTTTTTCTTTTATTTGTTTCCTAAATTCCGTAATCTCTCACTCGTAAACCTAGGATATTTTAATATTCCTGTTCTAAAAATTTGATTCTCAAATCTCTTCCTTTCAAATTATGTTCGAAATGGATTTTATTATCTGCTAGTTTTGCGTTTCTTGTTGGTTCTAAATTGGAATAAGGTTCTTTTCGATCAGTTTATAAATTGTGGGTTCGGCTCTTATTTCTCTCAATACGATCCTATTCTTCAACATTAAATCTTCCATTATGAAGTGTACCTGATAGGAATGAGTTGAAAAATGTTCTATATCCTACCAAGAAATTTGAATACCTCGCAAATTTTGTGGCCTGAACCTATATTCCATGTCGGCCGCATCATATTCTGTTTCCATTTTTGTAGAATTACGTTATCTGATGAAAATTCGAATAGAGTGAATCGATTTCCCAAGTTCTCACAGTTGGAATTTGCACAAACTTGCATCATTCTCCTAATTCTCTCAATTTGTCAAACCTTTGAAATTTATGTCATCTACGTCCGTGTACTGTCAGTTTCCGCTTTTTCCATCAATTTATTTGTGGTTATGTCTGATTGTCAGTGCTTGTCATAGTGTCTGTACTCTAATATACAAAACACGCCAAAACAGCAGTGTCAAGTACATTTAGGAACTCTAATCTCTGGTCCATGTTACGAAGCTCGTATAATCACAGTTCATGGAATATCTATAAACTGTGGTATAACTAGCGTTCCCTTTGAGAGAGATCCATACAAAATGTCATTACAATGTTGCCAATAGTTTCGGCATAATCGTGAAAAATATAAAAAAAATGTTTCATTTCAACACCTTGTATCTTGAAATCGGATGTTGTCACCACATTTTTTTACTGAGCAAACTCAACTTATCTTGCAGTGTTCTACCTACCCTAGCATGGTGGTCAGGTTTTTTTGAAACACCCATTATATCCAACAATTATTTTGCATTGAAGGTGATGAAGAATGTAAATGAAAATTTAGTTTCGAAGAGTATGAAGCAATGAGAATGCTAACGATTTTACTTTTTACTGTTGTTGAAATGAAAACAATTGATACTTCCAACTCAAACATCCAGTATCTCGAAAACGGAGCAAGTTAGGATACAACTTTATTCGCTAGAATATCTCAAGGAATCGCTTCTTGATTTTTTTTGGTGTTATTGAGATACACCCTGTATAATATAGATTCATCAATACGTTCCTCATCCATCGTAGTTCTCCACTAGCATTTTCAAATATTTGGGTAGGTACTGAATAGTAAGTGGAGTTCATTTGGTATATCACAGAATCAAAATATCTGGAAGAGTAATGATGAATAATGCTTTCCTCCAACTCAGAAGGCAATGATGAAATATGATTTGTTCATTCTAGAGTCTATTATTCACCAGGAAATCAAATAAAGTTTTTTTTTTTTTGAATCATCAAAGCATATTATTGATTTTGAGTTAACGAGATATGAATTGGAAGAACAGTTCGCTGATGATAATTGATATGAATATTTGAAATAATATTGCTTTTGTTTTACCCAACAGGCATCAATTCCTCCATTTTCATATCCGGCACAGATATGGCTGTCTTGGATCCTAGTTTGCTTTCCCTGAGACTTGTACCAAGCTCTGCATGTATTCGTTTCGAAGACGTTGATTTTGGCTTTCTGAAGATTATTTGCCCGTCTACCTGTGGAACAATTGAGAGTTAATCCACTGGAAGTTGTTTTTTGAGGGGTTGGCTGCAGAGAAGAAAGTCGGACTGAGAACATCTCACGAATATCCTCATGGCTTTAACCTATGTTTTCCTCTCTTTCGGAATAATTGAACTATAATCAAATTCCTTGTTGGTCCCAGCAGTGGAAAAAACGCTCGATAAGTCGAAACTTGTGAGAGAGAACGACCTACAAAGCACAGCAAGTTCCATGATACACCACATAATATGGGGTTGAACACCTGAATATATGCTGCTACTTTCAGATTCCTTTCAGGGATGAGCTATTCATCTGATTGATGCTGTCACACACATAACTCCCTTGTCATAAATGGAACACCGAAGGCGACTTTTCACTTTTCAATAGATTCTTCCACAAAAAATGCACTTCAGGAACTCATAAATGTCCCCCCTCCCCTCTAGCTCAGTTATTTTCGAACCGATTTCAAAATTTGAAATATCATCCTAAATGATATTCGATAAAGTTTTTTTCTGCTACATCAGAAAATACAGGGTGCTCGGAACAAACGATCTACAGGGTACTATTTGATTTTTTCAAATGGAACACCCTCTATTTTTCATTGTATTTTTAGATTCTTCCTGAAGAGCTGATTTGATCAATGCATTACACTTGGGGCCTAGCAGGAATGATTACAGAGATATAGGATCGGTCAAAGCGGCTTTCATGTCCGTATCTCAACTTTTGATTTACTATCTACTGACATTCAATAATTGGAACAGATACAGGGTGATCAGAATACTGAATCTTGAACCACCTTGTAAATGTTCCGATTAAATGTCAGTAGATAGTAAATCAAAAGTTGAGATTGGGACATGAAAGCCGTTTTGAGTTGAAAAATCTCAAAAAAAAATTGAATACAGAGTGTTCCAAAAAATCAAGTAGTACTCTGTAGATCGATTGTTCCGAGCACCCTTTTTTTTTGATGCAACATGAAAAATTCATTTTAGATTACTCTTAAAATTTTCAAATCGGTTCAAAAATAAGTGAGCTAGAGGGGAGGGACATTTATGGTGAATCACCCTGTACATCCTGTTGACGCCAATCGAGATAAATGTCGAGGTTGACTAGTTTGTTTATTGAACTGAAAAGCTTTGGGAATCTTTGTCTAGGGAAGTATTTTTAAATCTTCCAAATCTCCAGAAATTAAGAAAGTCCAATACGTACCCTCTCTCCCAATCCTCCCTCGATAATAGTGATCTCCTTTTGTGCCCTCCATAACATGAAAAAATAGATAACCAAACTAAATAGAGATATGAAATGAGCTCAACATTGAAAGTACTGATTACGGAGGTGTTAATATTTTTTATGTTTTGTATTTATGATCACACTTCTATTATTTTATTTTCTACCTCTTTTTGGTTTGGCTATCTATGAAAAGTTGTCTCTTTAGTTTCTTAATCTACTATATTATGTTGTATAAATGGAATTTTGGATATCGATTCATAGGTGATATCTCCTAACCTCAATTGTCAATTTCAATTCTGACATTGCCTCAAACTACCCCATCTTTCTCCCCAATCTCATTCTCTCTCTTTAGGATTGCACAAGCCACTAACGGCCAGTCCTTACTTTTAATAGGTCGTTACCTTTATTGCTATCCTCATTGGTCCAGCCCCATCCAGCCACTGTAGCCAGGAGATTAGCGAAATCATTCTCATTTCCTTCCAAGGGCAGACAAGCCGGAAGCACGGTCTCAGACCACCGAATGGTTCCAGCTACCTCCAAGATGGCAATATCGTCCTTGGGCCTGTCGCATTCGTATCCTGGATGGACGGTGATGGCTTCCACTGCCATTTGGTAAGCGTCGGCGTCTTTATGTGACAAGTCGTGTTGGGCCATGGTTATCTTGATGCTGGTGGGTAGGAGTCTGTCCTGGTCTATTCCCCTGGAAAGATTCTAGTTTTTATTGGATCTATATCTTATGTGATTCAGACCAGGAAAGAGTCCCTCCCTCTATCATCAAACAAAAAAAAAAAGAAGAATAAAACGGTATTGAAGTTTGATGCGAACAGTCCTTCTGTCCCAAATGGGTCTCAGTAATAGATTCTGAGAATTGAAGAAGATCGAACGGAACAAATGAATATCAAAAAGTTGATAAGGGTGAATTTGGTCATATGTTGATGTTTTCCATGGTTTATGGACGATCTCAGCCTCTTGAACTTCGATTTATCACCTGCGTCATGATCAACTGCATTTCGAAAAAACTGATCTCCATGAACCTCAGCTTTGTTGAACGTCTTGATGGTTCGTTCTCTAATGACGGACACGATTGAGAGAGTTTCAGATCCCTGGCGATTTTATTATTCGGAACATACCAGGGAGATGCTGTCACCATTCTCCAGATCTTGTTTGTAATATTTATAATCTGAAATCTGATGATATGAGATTTATCTTTAGTTGATGTTCGGTGCCCCAGACTACCAAGGCTTACAATAAAATTGGCCTGGCATGGCTGTAAATATTCAATTTTTGTCTCAAACCCAATTTACTGCATCGGTTTGGAAATGGGAACAGGGCTTCGATAGCTCGTTTAGCTTTTGAAACTTGCTGTTTAAGATGTTGGGCCTCGGTGAGTTTTCTGTCATATTGCACACACCTAAGTATTCAGCTTGTGAAGACCATTCTAACTCATGACCATCTAGGATTATTTTCATTCTAAGAGGCATCTGCCCCCTTCCGAGTGCAATCAATTGTTCAAAGCAAAGCGACATCTTGCACATCACAGGACTTGGCAAATCGGTAGTAAATAAACTGTACATCAGTGGCGATGAAACTGCACCCTGAGGAACACCACCTTCGATAGGCTTGATACCAGATCGTTGATCATCAAGATTCACTTGGAAAGTTCGATTTCTCAGAAATGAACACGAAAACTGAATCAAATCGTCAGGAAAGCCCATAACGACCATTTTGTCAAATGGTTCCGCTATGTCAAGGAGAGCAAGATGGATCTTTTGTCCATGATTTCTCAACGATATAGTGTTCTCAATGAGTCTCAAGACTTGGAGTTCAGTTGAGTGGCCAGTTAGGAAAGCAAACTGCTCATCTTACTTCCACCGCATTTGCTACGTGTAGGCGTCTTTATGTGACATATCGTGTTGGGCCATGGTTATCTTGATACTGAAGGGTAGGAGGTTGTCTTGGTCTATTCCTCTGGAAAGATTCTATTGAGCAGGAGTGGTTATGTATGCACAGAGTTTTGCACGCATCTACGTTCTCATAATCGCGTTTTTTGATACCATTAATTCGATTGATCTGGATTTCGTTGATGATGGGGCTGTTGACATTAGCGAGGTAGCAAACTTGAACACCTCTGCCAACGGCATAACTATAGGCAGACTGTAAAGTTTTGGCATCAGAACCCTACCATGTTTTTCTTCTTTTGATAACGAATGAAAAGAACTATGTCGAAGGAAATTTCTCCTCTTACTGTGAGTTATCAATTTTGGAAAGGAAAAGGATTATTGACGAGTGAAACCTTGCCCAACTTTTGATTTCGACGTCAAATACTCCAATGGCTGTTATTTTTTTTATATGTTCTGATTCCCACGAATGATCAGAGAAAATTGTAAGAATCAAGGAAAATGAGGTAGGAATTGGTGTTCTCCATAAATTTCTGGTTAGCAAGTAAGAATTATCCATTCGATGAAAGTGAGAATGATCATATTATTGGAGCTGAAAGTTGAAAACATAGGAAACTAGTTCTAGGTAGTTGACAGTATGATAATATCATAGGATTTAGGGGAATTCATTCAAAAATCATCTTATTGAATATATAATGAATCAATTAGCTAAGTACTGAATTGTTGCATATTTATACCTATAATATAATTAGTTCGCCTCACATGTGTTGAAGATTTGTCTGATACCGAATGAAAATATCAGAAATACTTCAAAACATGTAGTAATGAAAAACAGATGATTTTCAGGATGATAATAATAAGAATGTTGATAATAATGTGTTCTTATTTCATGCTCAATCTAAGATGTTATTACAATCAAAACTTTCACTGTTGGGAAATCGAAAGAGAAATTTGATCGATAGTCAATAAGGCCTTGCATTGGAAAATGTATGAAAACGAAGAGAGGAAATCCCAAAAAATCTAGAGAAATGCCAAATGGATATTCCACCTCATTTATCAACATTCAGACACTATTTCTCATCTCTGGATTGTTTCATCGTTATACATATATGGTTATTTCTTCACTTACGTGCAGAGGCAATGTCCGGCCGTCATCACGAACTTGTTGGTGATGACTGTCCCACCGCAAAAATGTCCTCCTCTTCTTGTGATCGAAACCAGCCATGGAAACTCTCCTTTGTCGGCGTTGCTGCCACCCACTATCTTTCCAAAACGTCGAGCTGCTCTGTATTTTCCGCAGTTAACATCAGCAACTAAAGTACCATCCGAAAGTATTGAAACGACTATTTCACTAATCACATAATCTGACCAATCACAAGACAAAGACAACTTGTGTTATCGCGAAAACACTGGCTGTCTTTCAAAACTGATTGGTCTATCAGAGAGTCTTCAGATTGAATCTCTGGTAGAGCAGATATTTTTAATTCATAGTGCAAAAGCTCTCTCTAATTTCGATGTAAACTTGAAACTTTGTTTTCTATCATTAATAACACAAAAACAATATATGATGCAAGTGGTGGTAGTTCAGATACAACATTTATGTTATGGTTTGGTGGTTCTCCGACTTGTTTCAAACATCCTTCAACTATTATGATGCTCAAAAGTCAATTTGGTTTCACATGTTATATCCATGATGGAATTAGTATGTTTAGTTTCAATCAATCAATGTTTAGTCAACTGGAATTCAATTAGCAATTAGCAATAAGGTGACTGGATATGTATGTATGACTGACTTCTTCTGTGATGATAGACAATATACTATGACATTTAATTTTATAAAAAAAAACAGTGTGACCAATCATCATGTATACAGTGTGTCCCACTTACTATGCTCACCATGGGTATCTTTTTAACGGTGAGAGATACGAGGTCGGTTAAATGACACCAAATGTGGAGTTTGTCGAGGCCAACTATAATGTGAAAAAATATTTAGATAAAATCTATTCGTTTTTGTTTTATACGCAAAAAACAGATTTTGATAATTTCCTTGTCTCCTCCATAACTTCTTTATTCATGAAAATATTCAAATAGGAATTTCACATTCTCATGGCAGTTTTTCAAAGTGATTTCGAAAAAGATATGAAATTTATACCAACTCTTCTAGAATTTGAGATATCATCACCAACTTTAGTATTTCAAAGTAGGTCATAGCTCACTATGACTTAGTTACAAATAACTTTTTTTTCTCTTACAGATGATATGTCGCAGTAATAGTTTTGTGTTGATAACATCGGAGTTATCGTCATTTATACAAAAACAAAAAATCATTTGGAAGCCGCCATTTTGAATTTATAAATTTTAACAGAAAAATCATGATCTCCGACCTCAAAAACCCCCACTCACCAATTTCGAATGGAATCGGACCAAATCCGGTGACGATACATTATGGAATTTTTGTTGAAATTGAAAAAAATGGCTGCTCCAAGATGGCGGACAAGATTTGGTCCGATTCCATTCAAAATTGGTAAGTAGGGGTTTTGAGGTCGGGGATCATGACTTTTTTTTCAATTGATAATTTCAAGATGGCGGCTTCCAAATAATTTTTTGTTTTTGTATAAATGACGATAACTCCGTTGTTATCAACACAAAACTATTACTGCGACATATCATCTGTAAGAGAAAAAAAAGTTATTTGTAACTAAGTCATAGTGAGCTATGACCTACATTTGAAAAACTAAAATTGGTGCTGATATCTCAAATTCTAGAAGAGTTGGTATCAATTTCATATTCGTTTCGAAATCAATTTGGATAACTGCCATAAAAATGTGAAATTCCTATTTGGATATTTTCATAAATAAAGAAGTTACGGAGGAGACATGAAAATAATCAAAATTTGTTTTTTGCGTATAAAACAAAAACAAATAGATTTTATCGAATTTTTTTTTCACATTATAGTTGGCCTTGACAAACTCCACATTTGGTGTCATTTAACCGACCTCGTATCTCTCACCGTTAAAAAGATACCCATGGTGAGCATGGTAAGTGGGACACACTGTATGTCGGCGTCAAACAGTGGAATCCGTCATTCTCTGGAATGCCTAGTCATTTCAAGTATTGCCGGCAAACAGCGTAACTCTGAATTTCGTACACCGTTTGCCTAATAGTTTCAGGCATTCCTTGTAATGATGGAAGAAAGGTTCATTTAGGCCGGGTCAGCTTGGGTTGTTTAGGAGCAGTAGTCTCTTCTGTTCTCTCAAGTAATTTTCTGAAAATTATACGTTCTAGGAAGAAGGTTCATTCAGGCGGAAAAATTGTCTCCCTTCTCATGCATACGCAGAAAGGATTTTTTTTTCATCAACCCTCCGGCAAACAGAGTAACGGCTGAAAATGGAAGTTACGCTGTTACGCTGTTTGCCGACAATACGTGAAATGACTAAGCATTTCAGGGAATGCTCACATTGTGAGCAAGAGAGTTAACCTATTGAATTTCATGCTCGTATGGAATTGTACTGCATCCTTAGAGTACCCTGGTGTTAACAACAGAGAACTTTGCTGTGGGTGCCTGGTCACTGGGGGCTGAAAGGCAACGAGAAAGCCCACATCTTTGTCAAACAAGAACCTATATCCATAGGACTAGAACCATATTTTGGTATCACCAAGTCCAGTGAAGCCAAACTACCTTGGATTTTTTTTTCTATATTCCTACTTCAGAGTTGGGAACCAACTCCCCAGAAGTCGAAACTTGTGCGGGGTTAGGAAGAGTGGGACCTATAGCTCATAGTGGAATCTGAACCACTTCTAAGGCATCAAGGTGCTGCCAGGATTACAACCTTAAATCCCACATGGCCATTTGGTGGAGGATAAATGACTGACGTAAAGAGGTCTGAATTATGTGGATTGACTCATTAGGAGGTGTTCCTGTTCAATCCATCGAAAAATATAACTAGGCAGATCGTATAATGGATCAAGAGCAACCTACGGATTTGGACAGGACTGTCTACGGTGAACTGTTGTCTAAGGTACAATCCAGGAAGAATGGGTCTTAACCAACAAACAGACTGTCGGTTCTTCTGTGTCACAGCCGTCTTCAAAGACGGCTCCCAGTTAACACAGATTGATCCCAGAGAAGTAAGAGGGCATCACATTCATGCCACACATCACATCTGTGACTCGAAATGAGAGGCCTAGTGAAATCACAATGACTGCTATTTCGGACCCTTTTGGTCATTTTATGATTCACATTATGATGCCAAATGAAAATCACAGTACGTATTATGCGACTCCTCATTCAACATCAAAATTGATTTATTCCGTTCCTTACATAAATAGACAAGGATGTGAGGTTTCAGTGAGTCTCTTGGTTGTTAGGGAGCCTCATAAATTCACCAACATTTCAGGTCTCAAATTTAATAAAATGTGAGGAATATTGCGAATGTTTTGTGAAATAAAGAGTCTCCTGGTAATACCAATGATGTTTTGTTGTGACTCGCATTGTTACCTAGCGAGGCATGAATGTGACATCCCAGGGATGTTTGTGTTTACTGGGCTGTGTCTGTGTGGAAGACGAAACGACTAAAATACATATTTTATTTAAGCTCTTGCTTATCTGAGTTTCAAAATATTTAGTTTCCCCAATTTGGAACCTGTCATTGGATTATCTTGACTGATCTATACATAGGGAATTATACTTCTGTTCTCTCTATTTTATATTTGACGGAGTTGTAAGGAGTTCTTGAAGAGTATAGCATATGCATTGCTACAAATTTGAAATTTGTAACAAGAATAACTGTTGAATTTTGAAATGGATTATCTTAATCAGGTAAGAAATCAAATGTTGATAAATGATAAGTGCCTACTTACAATTGATGTTATTGAAGGCTTCAGTTTCCAAAACAGTCACAAACATAAAACACACAATAATGAAAATCTCCATTTGCTCCGAACAATATCAACTTCCTCTCGGTACAATTGAATCTGTCTAGTTGCGATATCCGTTAAAACTTCATTCAACTTCTTATTTTTTGTGCTCCAGTTAGTATCGAACTCCCCTTGGTGGAGCTGATTGGAGCACAATCTACTCTTATGAGCAAAACACTTTTTTCATTTATAGAAAGATGATAAAGTGAGCCTATTCATATCCCTTCCCATAAGGTGGTGCTCTGATTCAAGGGTAGCTGATCGGTACATTTTCGTATAAATTTAAATTCAATGGTGATATATTGGCTGAGGAGATAACCTTGTCTAGTTTTGGCGGTCGCCATTGTTTTCATTCAGATATGCAATGCAAATATCGTAGGAGCAGCAGGCATAGAGTTGAATGAGTAGTTTCACATGATTAAATAGGTATACCTACTGATACATACACTTACCATCATTCTAGGGCTTTAAGAAGCTTTCACCGCCAATAATATCATTCATTGGGCACATGATTCAAGGAACATATTGTTCAATTCAGATATAATCGGTTCGTTGAAACAAATTTTCGAGACTATAGTCACTTTAGATAATGGGAGATTTCTCAAAACACTAGGGAATTGAATAGTTTTGAAAGTATTCATCAGTGATGCAGGTCGTCAAACTGAGGCCTTCGCTATCACTCATGGTCTAGAACAACTAGTCGAACTACCAACCCGCATTCCAGATGTCAACAACCATGTCTGCCTATACACTAGATCTTTTTCTCACCAGCAAACCTGATCCATGTGGAATAGAAGTTTGTAACCCACTTGGAAACTCTGACCACATCCTCGATCATCTCCACAACCTGCTCTTTCCAAGTACCATCCAGCTCCATAATTCCTACCCGTCTCATGTAGCATTACAATTTGTCCGACTGGGAAGGTCTTCGTATGTTTTGTTCAGCGTTTCCATGGAGGAGATCCAACACGATGTGCTGAGACAATTTCTGAAATCATCATATGTTGGAGATGCAAACCTACCTACCGAACACTGCAAGGAGAACATCTTCCGATAAGACTTGGTTCAGTAGAAACTGCTCTAGAGATGGAACACTAGCCACAAGTGCTCAGGAGAATGCCAAAAATTTTGCGCATTTATTTGCTGGAAATTTCAATCTGGATTCATCGGGAAAACAACCTCCAAACATAACGCCAATTGACAGTCATATGCCCGGGACTACCTTCCGCCAACGTACTATAAGGAAGATTTTATTGGGTCTCAACACCAAACAAAACTTGTGACTCCGACGGAATCCCACCGATTTTCCTCAAGAAATGTGCTTCCGAATTGACACCTGTTCTCTGCAAGTTGTTCAAATACTCTTACAAATTGGGGATATTCTCGTCCAACTGGAAAATTGCAAGAATACAAGCAGTTCCTAAAAAAGGCAAAAATATCCTACCTAGCAACTACAGACCGATCGCACTGCTATCTTTTATTTCAAAGATCATGGAGAAAGCTATTAACATCGAGCTCATGGAATACCTGAAACATTCAGGTATTATCAAGGATAGGCAATATGGCTTCCGTCATCAGAGATCAACTGGTGACCTGCTCGCTTACGTCTCACATCATATATGGCAGCAATATATTGAAAAATATGGTGAGCTAGTTTTCTCTCAAACAGGTCTCTCCATGTAGTGGTCGACGGAGTTTCATCTGACTCACTTATCATAAATGTTGGTGTTCCACAAGGATCAATTCTAGCACCAACACTATTCCTACTTCTATATCAACGATTTGTTGGAAGCAACTTCATGTCCAGCACACAGATGATAGTACCCTACATACCGCCTTCTCTCCTCTGATACCAGTCAGGCAAATCAGAAACGAACGAGAAAGAAATGTTGACTGCATGAATATAGACTTGGCAACAATTCTCGAATGGGGATCCAATAACTTGGTAGATTTCAATGCAAACAAAACACAATCATGCCTTTCCTCTAGAAAAACCGATCTCACTGAGTAACCATACCTCTGATGACATCCTTTTCGATGCTTGGTATCACTATCAGCAATGAAGTGAGTGAGTTTGTGAGCGAGGCATCACCCACGAGACGATCTTTTTTGGACAGAATCCAACATTTTCAGGATATGTTTGGGTGCTGCACTCCAAATATGGGAACAGTATTCCAGGACCGGTCTGATCTGTTCCTTATAGATGATAAGCAGCTGACTGGAAGTGAAATAGCTCTTGACCCGAAACAGAAAACCAAGTTTTTGGGATGCACTTTTAGCAATTGATCTCACGTGATTTTTCCAAGAAATACCAAGCGAGAATAGGAAGAAACTGAAAAAACACGCTTTTGTAGTCAGCCGAACTAAAAAATAGAAAAACACGTTTCTATAGATTGCCATAATGGAAAAAAAAGTGTTCTGATAAATACACAACATAGAAAATATCAGCACCTCCGTAAACATCACCATTCTCGATATCGTGTATTTATCAAAATACTGTTTTTATATTATTTTCAACTCATTTTCAGTCTGGTAATCAATAGAATGGTGTTTTTTTATTGTTGTTTATTGGTTAGTGTCGTCTGCTACCTGAAACGTGAAATAACCAGGTGTCAATATGAAACCCTGTGTAACTACTAGTTAGACTTTATGCACAGGGATGCAGAGTAAATATCGTAGTAGCGAAATGTGTAATGAGAGGTGTGCCACCAGCAAGGCTCACCACGATTATTATGGTAATTGTATGTCAGGAAATGAAAAGAACATTTTCCGGAAAAATGAATTCCGGATTTGTTCGCCAATGAGAAGCATCATCATTCTGTATTCTTACACGACGGTTTCAAATTTTATAACATGTATTTCAAACGAGAGGAAAAAACGTCGTCTATACTGATATGTAATATATATTTATCGGTTTGTCATACATTAAAAAGTATTACATAGTTTTATTTTGCCATATTGGTGAAGAGGATATGGAAATATGGCTCCCATTCATTTTGGTCCCTCGCTAGAGCACTCGGAAGGAATTTCACTAATATTTCATTCCCACCACTCTCCAAAGCCTTCAGCACATTAGCAACAATATCCCAAGAAGAATAAGCGTTATACAACGGCGAAGCTTTAGAATTCTTTGCTAATGGAAGTATATCACCAGGAACTTTTAACCTCCAAAAGTTGAAAAAAAATTTCAACACCTATACCTTTCCTCCACACGATGTTTCACGAACATTATATATTATTATATTTCGTGCGCTCAATGAGAAAAATCTAATATGAAAGAAAAAAAAGAATATAGAAAGAGAGAGAGAGAGAGAGAAAGAAAATGGAAATGAGAGAAACATATATGTATGAGAGATAATAGAGAGAATGAGATAAATAGAGGAAGATAATGGAATGAAAAGAGATAGAGGATACATATCAATGAAACAATTAATTATGTTGGGTTTCAAATTCTTATTCCATATTTAACATTTTGTTTTCTAGTTGAATTTTGTGGTTAGCTAATTGATCGTTAGATTTTAATCTTCCTAAGAGACCTCACATGCCTATTATCCTTCAATAGAGATTACTCAGAATCCCTGCATATAAATAATCATGATCACAAAATGTCAAAAAGTAATCCGTAACAAATCACTTGCAAGTACAGATTAGATAAAATTAGTTTTACTCATATGTGAAACCTTGTCTTCAAGAGCAAAAAAGGTGAGTCAGTGGCGTTCTGAAGTTGTTGTATAGGTTCAAATAAATTGTTTTCATACATATCTGAATCATTGTAACGGAAGGAAGAATCATATTGAACCGAAATATTCATATATTTATAAGTGAAAATTATAAGACTAAAATTCCGAAGAAAAAGATAGAGAATCTGATCGGAGAGACCTTCACTCTCCTTTGTTTTCTGTATTTTCTATATTTGAATCGTTGTACAGGGTGGAGAATTTAACTGGAATAAATTGGATAGCAGGGTGGTGAATAATTCTTCTAAAAATTCGCGAGATACATCAACGTTTCAATGTGTTTATCTACATTTTGCAAACGTTATGAAGAACATAACCCTTCAGGAGTAGCTGAAATCATCAGCTCCAGCATATGTTTTCTTTTCCAAATACAAATACCCTATGGCTTGTGATCCCTCATTGGGAAGCTGGTTGAAAGAGGAATATACTGATGAAATTTTAGTTCGCAGTTCGTTTGGAGTTTGCATCAAATCAAAATATAATTTTAAAATTCGATATACCGGGTAACACAAGAAATCAGGCCCCCCTCTGTAACTTCTGGATTCGTAAACGGATTCTTCTGGAATTTGCTACATTATAAAAGCAACCATTTTGGATTTGATCACATTACTATCCAATATGGCGGACTTCTGGTTTTTCAGGAAACGCCAGCAACTTTTTTTATCAAACGGAACACTGTATCAACAGGTCAAAACAAGTGCAATCTATGTCACTTTTTCGAATACATTGAAACTGACATTGTTTTCTTATTTTACCTCCTGGATGAATGAGATGTGGTCAAGCTATTAACAAGACCCAAATATGTATATATAGAGAAGAAGTTGATATAATGGTTCTTCCATTATTAATATAGATAATCTGAATCACATAAAATAATGATTGAAGAGTGACTGAAACTGTTCAACATAGTGAGAATATACGGAGGTGTATTATAGAAGGAGACTCACTGTTTATGTTATCTGACTAATTGAATTTGAATTCCAAAGAGATATAGACCTCGAAGATAAATCATAGGTTATAAGCAGCTAGAATGAAAGAAGGTTGCTCAAAAGCAGTGTGAAGTTCAAGATTTGCCATTCAACATTATTTTCTTAAGGTTACGTGCGGTCAATTTTTGTGCATATTGTGAAGGTCAATATATAATGGCACATAAATTAACTACGTGGAAGTCCATAGGAATAAATGTCATTAGGAAATGTTCACACAGAAACAGAATTTTCAGACGATTATTCTTCATTTTAGTCCTGATTGATAACTGATTGATTGATTAGAATGAACAGGTTTTTTTAAAATACGTGAGCACACTCACACTGAATGGAATTTCGTCAATACCAGCTGTGATCATTTTTTGAAGCTTGTCATTATCGTTTTCATTTCTGAATCGTTGTAGGGAATGCAATACATTGAATCACAGGGTGGATTCTTTATAGTGGTGAACTGGTTTTGAAGTCAATTTGTACAGTTATTTTACGAACTCAGCGCCTTTGCGCTCATTGGTATTTAATTTTTAG